GAAATTCACCCTTCGTAGGTGCATAAAAGCGAATACTTGACTTAGTAATGCTCTTAGATTATAGTCTGCCTCGACGCACCATTAGACAGCACACCAATTTGATCAGGAAAGCAAGTATTGCCCCCAAAGTCAGACAATTGCTTGCTGTACAAACCGACCATGCCTTCGATGGTGTTTCTAGTGTGCAATCGAGAATATACATTTATACATTTAGTTATTTATATTTGCAAGAAATGTGTGAAATGTCTGTAAATATCAAAGAATTAGGTGTTCGTAGTGCCCTCCGTCGTTTTGGCTGCAGAGAAGTATTCGCCAGATGGTGTTGACAAGCCCTTTCTGCAATGTCTCCAACGAAATCTGGCTACATTTGTTAACAATGTTCTCTCAGTTCATCCAGAATGTTGGGTTTTGTACTAGAACCTCTACGTTTCAAGTACCTCCACAGGAGAAAATCCATAATATAGATCCGGTGAGCGCGCAGGCAACTCTATCGGTCCTCCGTGACCGATCCAACGTCCACCGAAAATGTCGTTCAGGTAGGCATGAACAGATTGCGCCGAATGTGCAGGTGTGTCAACCTGCTACCACCAAAGGGATTTCAGTAACCCTTCCGACTGTAGCTGCCGAATGACCCTGGTCCGCAACATTCCCATGTACGAGGATGCTAAGAAATATCAGACATTAGTAATGTTAAACAACAACGTACAGGACACAATCATAGAAAAGCAAAAGGGCCCAGTGAGTTTTTAACCAGTCAACCCAACCCAGGCCACGAGTTTCGCGCTATGCTGCACACGTAAAGCGCTACATTGCCGTGGATTAGTTGTTGCCCAAATATGCTGCGCATCATCGCCACGCAGACGGAAAACCGATTCATCGGTGATCCCAATGGAATGTACGTTCAGACGGTTTAAAAATCAACGGGTGAATTCCAGGCGCTTCTGTGAATCGTATGAGTTCAACACATGCATCTGCAGTGCACTGTACCGTCGGAATTTTTCTTCTTTCAATGGCCGATGCACACCATACGGTGTGGATTCGCAATGTTGTGCGGGTAAACCGATGTTGAAATGGCCCTTACTGCATAGCATTTGCACAAGCGCGCAAGCGGATACTTCAGCGTGACGGTGTGAGGCCGTCCGGTTTGTTGGATGTTGCAAATGCTCCCAGTTTCTGCAAATTTCTTCACCACTCGACGCACATACCACTCGTTAATGGATAGCGCAGCGCGGTGCACAGTGTAACAACGCCTTGTCGTTTCTGCCGAGTTGGAACCACACTCACCACACAGCTGCACAATGACCACACGCTGATGGACTAGCACATCACGCGACTGCGGTTGCGGATACATCGACGATACTGGTGTAAGCTCCTGCTCAACTGTTAAAATAGCGAGTCACTAACCACCTCGCAGGGATCACTTTTGTTGGCTTCTTCACATGCGTGAAAGCCGAGTACCAATCGATCGAAACGTCATACGTCCAGTACGGCTTCGTTGTTTAGCTAACACACTTCTCACAGCCGAACCGCTCGGTTCCCTTGGTGTGTCCTGCAATCGAAGCATCACACGTCTGGTGAGGCTTCGCTGTTCTGCTAACCCTGACTTACCACAGCCGAACGGCTCGGTTCTTTTGGTCTGCCCTACGATCGTAGACACAGACCTCGCCTCTGCGTCTCATTTTACCCCTGTCGACACGTTCGGCAAAGCAATTTGCGCCATGGGACAGTTTGCAATGCTGCGTGCCGGGTATATTAGCACGTGAGCGCAGCCGCTTCTAGTTTCGGACGTAAGTAGTAAAACAGCCTGTAGTTTTGCAACAAATCAGCGAAAAAGTCGCTCAGCTCGAATAACAATCAACAGACCTTATTCCTTCATTTATCGCTTGTCGGTGAGGTTAGTCAGATATGTTTATGATTATATGGTGGTAAAGCATACACTGACGTGGCGCTGCTCTAGTTTTTATCGTCGTTGTAGATATTGATGGTGACCGTAGCACAAAACGCCTTTGGCCAAATAGTTTTTTTTTACTATCATCAGCCACTGTTTAATAAGATGTCAAATCGTCCAAATTCGCAGGCGGTCAACAGCGGTAGCAGATATAACATCACTTAAAGCAGTTGAAAACATGCGCTGGTTATTCTGACCTTGATGTGTACCGGAAGCAACCAGGATGAAGTAATCGTGGAGTTTCGCGCTCCCGCTTCAGTACTAGGTCTGGTGTCCACCAGTTTATGGATCACACGATGGGATATGTGAACGCTCAGACAACCTCACGCTCTCGACATGTGTAACCGGGGTGTATCCCTTGCCACAGCTCCAAAGATTCCAGTATCGGCGCATTTTCCTTCAGATAACGTCATATTTCTTAGGTTAACTGGTAAGAGAGGGCACCTGGTCTAAAACCTATTGTTATGATGCGATCACATCGCCCGCAAACCAAGTTTTCAGTACACATTGCATTCTGCGGTGTTCGAGCCATCGCAATGAGACGACTTTAACGTCGTGTGATGGTTTCTGTGCCTCAGTGATCCACTGAGCTATGCTGAGTGGTGCTTTTTGCACCTTCAGAGCCATTCATACCAGATTGGTCACAGGTTAGAGGCCTGACAAACTCAGTCTCCTGGCCTTCCAGGTTGGGGGGTTGGAGTGAGGGTGGCCCCTTCTCCATAAAATGGGCTCTCTGTAGTCCAGTGCTAAAACCCCGCTGTCTTGCGCGAGGATTTGAGAAACAAAGGTTTTGGTTGAGAACCCTAATGTTTCTCTTGTCCAGGCCTGGGGAACCTGACCATTTCCTGTGCATGAAATACAATAAACCTTTCTCTTAACAATTTCTTGATGCTCTGGCCGTCGCAGGAGATAATCAACGGCGCCCCAATTGCTGCATCGAGCAGATTGAATAAAGGTTTGGATGCTACTACTCAGGCCTTCCCGTCTTCTTTTCCTCCTACTTGCGTTTTTTCATACATATCGTCCTGCTCCAACTGTACCTTTATCCCCCAATTTTCAATCCCCCACATTCCTTAATGGTCGCTTATCTTCTAGTTTCAAGTCATACACAGTAGCAGGGCATCGCTCCTATTCAGTCGACAACTCAATCTTCAACCAAGCGGATAACGTCAGTTCATTCGCTTCCCTCTGGAGTCCTCGCATCTCGCTAAGGCTGGCATGCCTCAACGTGCGCACTTTGCTACAGATTGGCCAACAGGCAACACTTACCCGAACACTAGTGACCCTATCGATCGATATTTGCTGTTTATCAGAAACCCGCCTACAGGCTTCGAGCTCCGTGCTTACTCTGCCATCCCCCACATGCGACACTGGCGCCACATTCTCAATGCGCCTGTCTAACGATGATGCAGCTTCAAATGCCGGTCAAGCTGGCGTCGGCATTGTTTTGAGTCCCCGGTCTGAGGCTGCCCTGATCGATTGGATCCCAGTCAACAGTCGGATGTGCGCCGTTAGAGTAGCTGGTTTGTTCCATGCTACAAGTCGCGCGGGAACAAACGGTGCCTGTTTCTCATTGCGGCCTACGCTCCTACAAACGGTAGCACTGATTCGGTGAAAGATGATTTCTATCAGCAACTTCACGATCTCCTACAGTACAGAAGAAGCACGGATACTGTAGTGTTGGCTGGTGATCTAGACGCCCAAGTCAAGAAATTGTTCGCTGATGAGCTTCATCAGGGAGGCCAACAGTGCAAGCTCCCATAATGATAACTTTGAGCGATTGCTACAGCAGTGTGAAGATGCTCGTCTCTTTATCGCGAGCACAAACTTTTGACACAGCATTCGCAGAAGCGTGACTTGGCGCTTACCCGCCTCGCACCAGCTATGGACGCAAATCGATCATATTGCGACCAGTTACCACTGGAGAGGCTATGTCCAAAACTGTCGTTTGACTTGCAGCACAAGCGTGGACTCTAACCACGCACTTGTCTGCGTCGACCACGCGCGTTTAGGCGGACGTCCGCAACGTCGATGTCAACGGAGTAACACCAGCCAGATGACGAAGTCAGGTGTTCTGAATGTGTATCAAAGTGCGCTGATATCCGGGCTGAGTAAGCGCCCACTGAATACCGTCGAAGATCATTGGTCACATATTCGTCAAGTTACTATCAGCAGGCAAGCCTTCATGTGGCAAATCAAACTTCCAAACTGGACATTGGGTCGGTACACAGTCTCTGGGACTTATGGATGCTCGCCGACCTCTTTCGGCTGGAAGCGAACAATGAGATGGAGATACGAACAGCCACTGCCGCTGGTAATCATTGTAAGTGATTCCATCTGATAGGGGAAACAGGCAGCAGGAGACCTGCTGTTATGAATAACACGCGACGAGCGTGGGCAGCCGATTCACAGCCTGTCAAACTACTTGGGACGTTGGGCCGAGAACTGAGTTGCTCAGTTCTTTTATACTGCTGCATATTCCGTAAGAATTTTGCGCAGTTATTTTCCTTCGAATTCTGTGTTAGCTGCTTGATATTCGCGGTGTGGCTGCGCTTTATGTGAATTTTAACAATGTGCCTACCTGTCTAACAACCTCAACCTCGATTACTGACTCGAGGAGACTGCTAATCTTTGCTGGAAGGGACGGGATGCTAGGCTCAGTTATTCAATGCACGTAGTGTGGAGCGGAGTACGACCCAGCCATCGGCTTGAGTACGTCTGGTACACATGATTTCCAAGTCAGATAGACAAGAATGTTGCTGCGGTGCCTATTGAAGGAGCGTGGGCCGGTTCCGTTGATGAAACGTGGCTTCCACCCACATACCTTCCGGCTTTATTCCTTCAGGTTTACACTGGATATGGAGTGTGTGAATGGAGATGTGGGTGGTGCAGCGCACTCCACGCATGGTCCCTGTATGCGCAGGCGTCCTGTGACTGCCCTATGGAGGCCACAGTGATAGATAAATCAGGAACCGGATGCCATCAACCAATAGTTTAAAAAGACGTAATAAATTGGGTGGGAAAACGGGTGAAAATCCCGCCGAAGACTCACTTGACAGATAAGCTGAAGCCTTTTCCACCAGCTTCACTTTGACGCAAAAGGAAGGCTCCATCGGGTTGTAGATGCTTGTTGGTGGTGGGGTCAACCTCCAACAAGCGTTCTTCTGCCTCCAAACGGCTGCAGTGTCGAACGTACCAATCGTGGGGGCGCATGGCGATATAATTACAGGGAACTAATCCAGTGCGACCTTCTTGCTCGGTCAAATACCAATTGGGGTCATCTTCTACACATAAAACCTACGGTGAACGAGAGGGAAAAAAGTAGAAATGTTGAAAGTGAATTTGAATCAAGCGCTCTGCAATGTGACTTCCGGGGCAGATAGCAGAAAAATGAGCAGAATAGGAAAGTAAAGATGGTGTAGAGAGGAATCTTGACCAACTAGATGCAAACCTCGGGTGGCCGCCAAAAGGGCGACATGAATATCCCTGTGAAATGAACTGCTATCTTACACTCTCGAAAGAGACCGAACGAAAGGTATACTTGATAACACGACATTGCTTTGCGGAAATAAAACTGGCTCTTTGATTGGGGATGACCATAGGAGAACATTGGCCGCGCAGTTCTCAGGGTCGTTTCTGATTACTGAACGTATCAATAATAACTGAACTTTGGAGATGAAGCGGTGAGCCAATAAGTGCACTGAATTAACCCACAAATCTAGATTGAGTGGTTAAAAGTAGGCCCCCAAATGGGCTGCACGAGTCGAGAAGCAGACAGATTTGCATGAACTAAAAGTGGACGGCGATGACATTAGATTCAACATGTACAAAAATTAAAGCGTCAGCTGTGCGTCGTAATGGCGCTCGCTACCGCGCCAGGGCTAAGTATATCGCGAGGAAGCCCACCCCGAAACGGATTCGAACCGGTGACTTTATGATGTGCAAGCCAGGCGTGCAGACCTCTCGGTCACCGTTTGACAAACTCAGCATATGGGCATCAAGTATGGAAAGTGATGGGTGGAGCAGCTCCCTGGACCGAGTGGCGGAAAGTAAAGCAAGTTGTTAAGGGAACCTGCCCAAAGCAGCCTTCGGAGCCCGTCTGCTAGCTAGCAGCAAGGAGCAGCTTGGCCCAGACGCGGTCTGAAGCTAATTCGCGAGCCAATGTGAACGCTTCACCTTGAAGACAAGTAATGGGGATGATCAACCGTGAAGCCCATCAGTGAGCACATTAGTTCGAAAAACAAAAGTGCTTTATCAGGCATGTAGTGGTTTTCTAAGTCTAGGAAATTCCGGCTATGTTATTCTGTTACCAACTACTTAATTGACCCCCTTATATAAACAAACAAATAGTTATGTTCTCGATGAAACGAGGCATACCACCACAGGCATGATCAAGTAGTTGACAGAACTACAAAAACACTGTGAGTCCATGTACATCAAATGGTTTAGGTAGCTGTTTGCAAAATACGTGGCAGAAATGATGCAAAGATGATGAGCATGTTCATTGGCATCAGAGTGGAATGTGGCGAAATAGAATTTATAAGTGTTATTGTTACGGAAAATCTGGGTATGACTTTCGAATGGTTCCGGAGATTGAGCTCCAAGTGTTTCGTGGGCATTGGAACCCGAGAAGATACTTGTTCAGCGCTGTCGGACGAGAGGCTGAGGTTTCATGGTTATATACAATGGCAAGAATTTATGTGTGCATACGTCACTGCGTTCATGAACTTCAGATATTGAAATCTTTGCCTTTATTTTGGTGGTGAGTAACATCCACCAGGTCGCAATGTTGTTAAACAGTCATTTGTGGATCTTAATAGGGAGAAGACATGCCAGGCAAAAACGCACCATCTCATGGAACTGTATGTCTGCGCATATTGCTTGCTGGGTGCACAATACAGTTTTTGCAGGTCTTGTTATCCGATTTAGGAAGTCGATCGGTCCAGATTGCGCAACAACTACGAAAAGGCATCAGCAGCACGCCAGTACGTAGTACGGACGTTTCGCTGCAGTGCAATCAACAACAGTTGCAAGTGGGCTAAGGATACTGCGAGGATCGTTCGGTCACCTACGTATGCTGGATCCCGCGCCCTCGGATTACAAAGCTGGTTTGTGATCCTTACGATAAGGCAACAACTTATTCGCACGATCAGCGAAAACCACATTAGTCGAACGGCAAATCGATGTAGTTTTCAGGGCAGTATAAATAGCTGAAGCCAACGTTATTCAGAAAGTTGAGAGAAAATGCATATACTAAAACATAGATGTATCATTCTTCAGATTATTTCGTTTCACAGTCCTAAACCCTTAAAGGCTATTGCTCCGATGATCAGTCCATGAATGGAAGTGGTTCAATTAGACAAATAAATGTACACAACGTGGTACAGTTCAGCTGCGAATAAGTCTCGTTTACCTTGCAGACGAGATGAATAAGCAGTTGAGGACAATCAGCGGAAGCGTCTCAGAGAGTGGGTAGTTCTGGGCTGGTCACCTGGTTCTCCATCAAATACCATAAGAGCTCCTACGGCGCTGTATCAAAGCCAATGTGACCGGCTATAGGGTCAAAGATCACTCAGTTCTGTAATCAGAGGTGAGCACATAGCAGAGAGCGGATGAACAACCTTGCTGGCCACCGGCTTCGCTGGGAACTGCAACTGAATACAGAGAAGGAAAATGAGCGACCCGGATGTCAACGGTCTTCGTTAATCGCCTCGCTGCCTGGCGGATTAGGTCTTGAGACCAAAGGCTCGGGGTGGGGTCCTTTAAGTCAACCCTCTTCCTCGACCTGGGAAACCGGGAAGATCTCTGCCCATACAACACATGATCATTCTAAAGTTTGTAAATCCTTTCACTGACTGCCCGCTTTTTCCTCTTTTTGCTGTTGTTAACTATGTGTTGTGGCACTGCCAATGGTACATTGGTCAAGTGTTGAATAATAATAATAATGATAATAATAATAATAATACAGTTCAGCTGCTCAAGTTAGATAAAATGGGTAAAGATCAAAAAGAATGGAAGAAGTTTGACCCAAAGTGAGTGAATAAGGAGAAAAAAACGTCGGTTGTAGTCAGGCAGCGAAGACACTGCGAGAGACCCGCAGAAGTAGTGATCGCGATGCGTAAAACAGAGTCGGCATCATCATGAACAGCAGCACATCAGAAATTTGAACTGATGTTCCGCTATAATACAAATACTTGGACCAGCAGAACGAAAAACATTAAGTAGGTGAGAACAGGGACTTACCGGAGAGCCTTAATACCCTAAACAGACATTCAGGGTCAAGACGCCTACACCTTGTCAAAAACATACCGTCACAAACAGCTAGCTACCATGCAGAGATAAGGCGATAGCAGCAAGAGAGCTTCCTTGCGGCTTTCATTGCGCTGTGTCATGGTTGGCGGCATCCGGTTTCGGATTTCGCTGTCACTGTAGGCAGCCACAAGACGCCTGCGCCTACAGAAGGACTATGGGTGGCTTGCGCTGCACCACCCACAGTTCCAACCACACACCCCATATCCAGCGTAAATCCGAAGAAATAAGACCGGAAGGCGCTTTGTCATAATCAGGTAGTAAAACGATAATTCAGTAGCAAACTCAGGTTAAACAGGCAGTTCGACTAGGAGAGGACAGCAACCACGCCAATGTCGCCGACCGCGAGCCGTCTTATAACGTTTTGAGTCAAGAAGGAGTCACACGGACTCCAGCCTGGAAAACGAGACAGACCAACGTCTCCCAGTTTAGTCGTCAGCGAGTTCATTTCCCGCTGCCAAGTCAAATTTTGTCGACATTGAGCCATGTGCCACCCTACCTCTGGAAAACAAAACAAAGCCCTCCTCGGTAAGCGGTGATCAGGCATAGACGGTACATGCGTAAGCCAACGCAATTTACTCAGTGCTATTTGTCATTCTAAGGAACTAGCTAAATTATCACTGACTAGTACTCGCTTACGCATACCATCGTTGAGGACACGCTGATGCCATCCGACAAGAGCAGTGCTACGCTGAAAACGATGATCAAAGAGTTGCAGGCGTTGCTGGTTCTCAGATCGAAAGGGCCAAGTCTCATTCCCACAGAGTAGGACAGACCACACTGTAGCCTTAGAAACATGCACTTTCAGAATGAGGGATACCCCTTTCTGACATCATAGTGGTCGCAGATTCAAGAAGGCAGATTTAGTTTTGCAATGCGTGTAGTAGTCATGGGGCCATGGTTACCGATGCAGCTGCCAAGGTAAATGAAGCGAACAACTATCTCGAGTTCCTCGCCATCAAGAGTCAAGGGTGTGATAGGATTATGCAAGCAGAAGAACAGTATGGATTTACATGAGGAAGCAAACGGCTAGTTTGCCGCATGCGAAGGAAGCAGTTTGGAAGCCTATGCATCTTCACCTATGTGCTGATGGGTTCGTATCTGGCAGCGTTGGAGTGAGTTTGTCTGACCGATTCAAAGGAAGAATCTCATGAATGTAGTAATGCCGTTAGTTACGGAAATGACCTGGTTATTTACACCGAGGCTTCTAGAACCTAATCATACTGTCGTTTGCTGAGCCTACCTTGTCGAATAAACCGGTTGTTTCTGAAGGACCAAGTTTTGCGACATGCTGTCGGAAAACACTAAGGCAAGGTCGTTGAACGGTTCTCAGTTGGTGATTGGAGCGAAGTCAGCTGTACAAAAGTCTGCCCCGTTGAACATGGAAGAACACAACTTGGCCAGTGATTGGAGAATCGAGAAAAACATGTGGATTGATTTAAGCGTACTGATGCATCTGAATGAACAAACGATGGCGTATCGCCTGGCGATGTTTCGACATACGATCGGAGATGAAGCATGCTGCTTCCTGGTAACGACGCAGTATGAAAAGGATTAAGACCCAGTCGATCTAGAAAGTCATACGAATAGTCGGAGCATTCCGCGACGGCCAGACTAACGGGTATCAGCGGTGGCCCATTTTTATTCGAAATAGGCGCCCAGACGAAACCATCGAGAACTATGTTACAGAACTAAAGACTGGTTCGTTCTTGTAATTTTTGCAATTGCATGGCTGGCAGTCTCTTTCGAGATGGAATTGTGCTGGGGAACAATGATGAAAACATCACCAAGCGACTGTTGGGGTAACGGCTTTTATTGCTCAGACAATGCCTTGATATATGCCTCAGTGAATCGTCAGCTACACATCACATGTAGTAAATGTGGTTGCCGTTCAGTGCAGGGCCCTGTGCCGTATATAGCCTGCATGACAAAACTACGAAACCCATTAGCAAGATACAAAAAACTTGCAAAATCTGCTCAACGCGACA